ATAATTGTTGGTGATTTCAACATTCATGTGGACAAACCCGAAGACAGAGGGGCAGAAAAGCTCTCTGATATTTTAGAAAATTTTGGTTTAACACAACATGTCAAACAAGCAACACAGACTCAAGGACACATACTGGACCTGGTTATCAGTAAGGGTGTGAATATTTCCAACGTCTCTGTAACTGATGTCGCCCTGTTGGATCACTTTGCTGTTATCTTTGAAGGTTCTTTATTCTTTGACCCGCTTGGACAAACTGTCACAAAACGTTCTTTCACAGAAAACACAGCAGAAACATTTAATCAAATCTACTCTTCTTCCTCACCCTTAAGCTGTAATGCTGTAGATCAGTTGGTAGATGATTTTCAGTCTAAAGTTTCATATATCATTGATTCCATTGCTCCAACTAAAATAAAGGTTGTGTCTGGTACGAAAAAATCCATGGAGAAATGCACAATAGTTCGATCTGCAAGACAACTCTGCCGCAGGGCAGAACGACAATGGCGTAAAACTCAACTTCACGTTCATAATGACATCTATAAAGAAAGACTACGTAACTATCACTAAAACATGCAATGGAGGCTTTCTTTGCAGATGTGTTAAACAAAAACATCAATAATGCTCGTACTTTATTTGCAACAGTTGACAGGCTCACAAACCCTCCTATGACGTTTCCACCTGAACTCCAATCTAATGCTGCCTGCAACAAGTTTTCCAGCTTCTTTTCAGAAAAAATTCAAAAAATCAGAGGATTAATCTGCACATCAACTTCAAAGCCAGAACCATTGCTGTACCAAAACAAAACAAATACAGAAAAAATGACCCATTTTCAACTACTTAATTATAAAACCCTAGAAGAAATTATAAGTCAATTAAGTTCAAGCTCCTGCTGTCTGGTTGTCCTTCCCACACATTTCTTTAAGAAAGTCCTGCCTGTTATTGCTACTGATCTGATCCAAATCGTAAACTCATCGCTTACATCAGGTGTTTTCCCCAGGCTTTGAAAACAGCAGTCATCAAACCACTGTTAAAAAAGAACAACCTGGACAAATCACTTTTGCAGAATTACAGGCCGATCTCAAACCTCCCATTCATCAGCAAAGTTATTGAAAAAACTGTGTGTAAACAATTCAATAGTTTCCTCATGATGACCAACTGCTTTGACTCTTTACAATCTGGTTTTTGTGCTCACCACAGCACGAGACTGCCCTCGTAAAAGTATTCAATGATATTCATATAAATATGGACTGTGGCAGAACCACGGTGCTGGTTCTGTTGGACCTCAGTGTTGACCATGACATATTACTGAATCGACTGAAGAGTTGGTTGGACTCTCCGGTTCGGTGCTCGACTGGTTTGAATCCTACATAAAGAACAGGGATTTCTTTGTTTCAATTGGAAACTTCTCATCAAAGAGGTCAAAGGTCACATGTGGGGTACCCCAAGGTTCAATCCTAGGACCCCTCTTATTTAATATTTATATTCTCCCACTAGCTCAGGTCATAACAGGAAATAATATTAGCTACCATAACTATGATACTCAGCTCTACATTACGATGTCACCAGGTGACTCTGAACCCATCCAATCACTGAATAAATGTTTAGAACAGATAAATGTGTGGATGTGCCAAAACTTTCTCCAGCTGAACAAAAACAAACTGAAGTCATTATTTTTGGACCTAAAGAGGAACGATCTAAAGTCAATGCACAGCTTCAGTTATTACAACTAAAAACTAGCGATCAGGCCCGAAACCTGGGAGTAGTGATGGACTCGGACTTGAACCTTGCGAGCCACATAAAGACAATACAAAGTCAGCCTTCTATCACCTGAAGAACATCTCCAGGAATAGAGGACTAATCCTGGAGATTAGTCCTCTAATCTGAGACAGATCTAGTTTCTCTAGATCTGTCTCAGCCAGATCTAGAGAAACTCATCCATGCGTTTATCTTTAGTCGCATTGATTATTGTGACAGCGTCTTCACAGGCCTGTCCAATAAATCAATCAAACAGCTGCAGCTGATCCAGAAGCTGCTGCTCGCGTTCTCACTCAATCCAGGAAGATAGAGACATAACACCAGTTTTAAAGTCCCTACAGTGGCTCCCTGTAGCTCAAAGAAGAAATTTTAAAATACTGTTGTTAGTTTACAAATCACTGAATGGTTCAGCACCACAATACATCAAAGATCTGCTGTTGTTGTATCAACCTTCCAGACCTCTCAGGTCTTCTGGTTCTGGTCTGCTCTGCATCCCCAGAACCAGAACCAAGAGAGGAGAAGCAGCTTTCAGCATCTGTGCACCAAAAATTTGGAACAAACTTGCAGAAAGCTGTAAAACAGCAGAAACCCTGACTTCCTTTAAATTTCAACTAAAAACACACCTGTTTAGAATTGTATTTGAAATGTAATATGTAAGAATGTATCGTTTATTCTATGTTACATGACTTTGTGTTTTTGTGTTTATGATGTAAAGCACTTTGAAATGCCTTGCTGCTGAAATGTGCTGTACAAACAAAATTTGATTTGATGTCACTGGTGATGTTTTCCTTTAACATATAATTATTCATTAATATTCTTATATTTCCTGTCAACTTAACATCTTTTAAGTTGACAGGAAAACCTCCTCGGCGCCCCGACCGCCAGGCTGAGCAAGATTTCTGGGGGAAAAACTGGAAATAAAATGACCTGAGCTGCAAACTCCCTGCTGAACTTCTCAAACAGTAACAGGTCAGAAGTGACATAAAAGGTACTATTAGTTAAACTCAGCTATGTTTTATAACAATCACTGTGAAACTCAGGGTTTCTATGTCTCAATAGAAAGTGACATTAAGGAGTTAACCAGACTTTTAATGTTCTGTCGACATGTTTCTCAAATTGATTCCCAAATAACTTTTAGTTGAACACAAAACCACCCGGCTCTTTGGTCAAAGCATCATGTTCTGCTAATTCTGCAGACACTTCATAGTCAGATAGATAGATAGATAGATAGATAGATAGATAGATAGATAGATAGATATAGATAGATAGATAGATAGATAGATAGATAGATAGATAGATAGATAGATAGATAGATAGATAGATAGATAGATAGATAGATAGATAGATAGATAGATAGATAGATAGATAGATAGATAGATAGAGATAGATAGATAGATAGATAGATAGATAGATAGATAGATAGATAGATAGATAGATAGATAGATAGATAGATAGATAGATAGATAGATAGATAGATAGATAGATAGATAGATAGATAGATAGATAGATTGATTCCAGTTCACTCAGTGGGGCTGCATCCTGAAGGTTTTGGTGGTTGACAAAAGAAGACTACAGACTTTGTAGACTGATGGGACCCTAAGCGAAATTTGGTTTTGGGGCCTTTTGTTTCTGCTAACAATGTGGATCGGCTGCAATCAAGAATGAATATTAGAATATTAGATCATTCGCACACCTGCTATAAACGTATTGCATCTCTGATGGTGATGTTTGCATATATCCTATGCATGTATAATATAGCATACATTTATCGGCCACTTGATTTCTGGGTGCCAGTTTCCTTAATTTTGGGGGATCGTGATCTGCTAATACTTAGTCCATCTTATGACCTGATCTTATTTTTGTCAGCAAAGGTTTAAAAATCAGCCTCTGTCCTCTTTTGCTCTGCAGTGAGACGTTTAACCAACAGACCAGCCCACAAGGTCATGTCTGAATGTTTACAGTTAACAATATTCACCTCACTGTTGCCAACTCACCAACTTTCTTCATATATTTAGCAAAATTTCAGACAGGAAAAAAAATGGAACTGGCCGAATTCAAAATCGGCAGGTCAGGTTTTTTTAAGATCGGTAATCGGCCAGAAAACTGTAATTGGTGCAGCTCAACATACATACAGTATTTATGACATTCTATGATTAAATTAATTTATCTTAAGCATAACTCCAAATGCTAAAGAATTTAATTTACCCAGGTGAGTCTTTCTCTCCTGAGAATGTGGACCGGTACCAGTACCGGGTTGATTCTGAGCCTTCAAATGATTTGAACAGAAGTTTCACAAACTTAGAAGTTGATGTAAAATAATGTTTGTTTTAGTCACAAAATAATCAGCAGCAAACAACAAATCACCAACTGCTGCTTAGAGCGGCTCATTGATATATTAATGCAGCAGCCATGAAGCCTGATGGAAAACATTTTGCTAGACAATCTCAAACATTGAGAAGTTTTAATTATTCTTATCAAACATACCATGGGTTTTGAAGCCAAAAACCTCAGAAATATTCAGAGCCAAGCAGGAGAATCAACTCATTTCAAGTTGAAACTCAACTTTATACAACAGCCAAACAACCATAAATGTTTGGCTGTTGAACTGAATCATTCAAAGTCGCTATAAAGCTAATTTCCTTCACAAATCTCTTTTATCAACATGACATTACCAAGACATTAAAACAAACCTTATCTTGTTTTTTTCTATTATTCCTCTTTTCTTTCTCCCTGAATGATAAGTCCTTTTTTGAGACATTGTTTTGCCAACTTATCTTCTGACTGGAGCTTTGGACATTTAGATTCTCTCTGCACATTGCAGCTCATGTTACTGTTGAACTGTGGGGTTCCTATTGAGGCACCAGGGGGCCCCACAAGCTTTTTTCTTTTTCTTTTTGTCCATATGATAATGATTTCTGCATACATTATCAAATATATTGTAAAAACAAATCACTTCATGATGACATTGTGTGTTTTTGTTATTGTGATGACATATAAATCGTTATTAAAATAAAATCAGCTCCACTGAGGGGCCCCTTGGTGGCCCTGGGGCCCAAAGTAGCTGCTTAGTTTGGTTATACCTTGGGCCGGACCTGAGACTGACGTTGGAATAACTTTCATTGAGTTTTCTCAAATTATTGAATTATGTTTCCTTCATAAAAGTTTATGAAGAAGAACCAAACTGTCCACTTTATCAGTCCGGTTGCTTGTTAGAATATTGCAAATTGTTTTTATTTTGTTTGTTTCAGATATTGTTGGTCAGTATCAGCCTGACCTTAAAGAGTCTCTGAAGATGAAGATCCAAAGTCTCTCTGAAGGCGTCGCTGAACTTGGAAATAAAACCGATCTGAACCAGATCTACACTGAGCTCTACATCACAGAGGGGTCAACTAGAGAGGTCAACCAGGAATGAGGTCAGACGCATTGAAAGAGCATCCAGGAAACAAGAAACAGTCAGAAGAGAAGACATCTTTAAAGTCCCACCTGGAAGAGATCAACCAATCAGAACAGTGATGACCATGGGCGTGGCTGGCATTGGGAAAACACTGTTAACACAGAAGTTCACTCTGGACTGGGATGAAGGCAAAACCAACCAGAACATTGATTTCATATTTCTATTCACCTTCAGAGAACTGAATTTACTGAGAGAGAAAAAGTTCAGCTTATTAGAACTGATTCATAAATTATTTTCTAAAACCAAAGGAATCAGAAACTTTGAATCGTTCCAGGTTCTGTTCATCTTTGATGGTCTGGATGAAAGTCGATTTAATCTGGATTTCAACAACAATCTGATCCTGACTGATGTTACAGAGTCCAGCTCAGTGGATGTTCTGCTGACAAACCTCATCAGGAGGAAACTGCTTCCCTCTGCTCTCCTCTGGATAACCACACGACCTGCAGCAGCCAATCAGATCCCTGCTCAGTGTGTTGACATGGTAACAGAGGTCAGAGGGTTCACTGACCCCCAGAAGGAGGAATACTTCAGGAAGAGATTCAGAGATGATGAAGAGAAGGCCAGCAGGATCATCTCCCACATCCAGAAATCCAAAAGTCTCCACATCATGTGTCACATCCCCGTCTTCTGCTGGATCACTGCTAAAGTTCTGGAGGATGTGATGAAGACCAGAGAGAGAGAAAACTACCCAAGACTCTGACTGAGATGTACATAGAGTTCCTGCTGGTTCAACTCAAAATCAAGGAGGAAAAGTATGATGGAGGAAAAAAGACCAAATCTATCTGGATCCAGAGAACAGGAAGCTGATTGAGTCTCTAGGAAAACTGGCTTTTGATCAGCTGCTGAAGGGAAACCTGATCTTCTATGACAAAGATCTCACACAGTGCGGCATCAACATCCAAGATGCTGCGTTGTTCTCAGGAGTTTTTCACTGAGATGTTTAAAAGAGAGAGGGACATGCGACGTCTCCGTCTACTCCTTTGTTCATCTGAGCATCCAGGAGTTTCTGGCTGCAGTCTACATGCTCCACTGCTTCACCAGCAGGAAGTCAGAGGAGATCAAGACGTTCCTGGGAGACGAATACAGAGAAACATCTCTAGATGAGTTCATGAAGAAAGTCATGGAGAAATCCCTCAGCAGTCAAAATGGCCACCTGGACCTGTTTGTCCGCTTCCTTCATGGTCTCACTGTGGAGTCCAACCAGAGAGTCTTAGAAGATCTACTGGGTCAGACAGAGACCAGTCCAGAAACCATCCAGAGAATCATCACCAACCTGAAGGAGATGAACTCTGATAAAATTTCTCCTGACAGAAGCATCAACATCTTCTACTGTCTGCTGGAGATGAACGACGTCTCATTTTATCAGGAGATCCAACAGCTGCTGGATTCAGGGAAGGAGCTCTCAGAGTCTGACTGTTCAGCTCTGGCCTTCATGCTGCAGATGTCAGAGGTTCTGGATGAGTTGGACCTGGAGAAGTACAAACACATCAGAATCTGGACGACTGAGACTGGTTCCAGCTGTGAGGAACTGCAGAAAGGCTCGGTGAGTCCAGATGTTTTCATTGTGTGATGCTGATTCAGCTCTATTGTCCTCCTGTTTCTTCTTCTGTCTTCAAGTTGATTCTGGATGTTTTTGCTCTTTATCTACTTCCTTCATCCTCTGGATTATTTCAGCCAATCAAACATCTAAACATTCAGCTCATCCAGGACAGATGCAGCTTCTGGATTTTACACATTTTGATCATTTTAAAAATATTAAACTTTTTATCAGTTTTCAGGTTGAAATGAATAGAAAACCCTGAACTCTAGAAAATCTATTTTCTCTAAGATCCAATCAGCCAGAGAAACTTTTAAACTTTAAACTCTTCACTCATTGAGCCGCTGCTCCATCATTTAGATTTTATAATCGTTTAGGTTTAATCAAATTTTAATCATTAAAATAAACTATTGCATTATTTATAAACTATGTGAACAGTGTTGATCTTCATCATCCTCTCCTCTTCCTCCTCCCTCTAGTTTTCCTCTGAGTTTGTAAATGAGACCAAAATGTGGTTTTTGTCGTCTGGTTCCAGAAAGTTCTAGTTTCTGTCAGATCCTCCCAAAGCTCTGAGAATCTGCTTCCAGAGCTGGAACCATTTTCCTCATCAACTCTTCATCTGCAGCCTTTGTTGAAGCTGTTAGCTGTCCTCCATGAAGACCTGCAGAGACATGAGCTTCAACTCTGGAGACATCCAGCCTCTTCTAGTGACTGGAAACTTTCACTGCTTCACCATGAAATGCTGCTGGACCCAAACGCTCCGTCTCCTCCAGGGGTTTTGCTCTTCAGCTCTTTAGGAGTTTAGCAACAATTTCTCCTGACATCCAAACCTTTGTTCCTCTGAGACAATGGACAGACCACTGCAGAGACATGTGTCCCTCTTCCAACCAGTTTGTCCCAGTTCCTCTCAGATCCACAGTCTGAGAGGACGGTTCTGACCCGAAGGAGCAGCAGGACCGGTTCTGCTGCTGCTCTGCAGGACGACCAGAACAACGTGAAGCTTTTAGCTGCAGCAGGTTGACGACTGTCCACTTTCTACTTTGTTAAAGCATCAAATCCAGCAGATGAACGGAGACAGAACTGGAGCATCATGTGTTTGTTCTGCTCCCAGTTTCCTCTGTGGCAGCATTTAATAACCTGCTGCTGGGAAACATGTTTTCTATACAATATATTACTATTATTAATGATGATGCAGCAGATATTGGCTCAACAAACCCAGAGATGCCAGAGGTCCACAGCAGCTGGACTTCCTGTTCTGCTCACTTCATTTATAACTCACTTCCTGCTTGGTGGAAGATCTAAACGGTCTAGTCCAAGTCAGAGCTGTGAGCAGTTCCTCCTCCTCTCCATCATCTCCAGTCGTTTCCTTCATTCAGCTCAGTCAGCCTCTTCATCAGCTGCTGCAGAGAAACTGAACTTTCCTTCACTGATGATAGAAGATCTTCAACATCTGACTGCAGCTGAAGGTCTGAGGACATGAAGCCTGGACCAGAACCAGAACCAGAACCTGGACCAGAACCAGAACCAGAACCTGGACTCTAACCAGGAACTGCACAGATTCTCTGTGGGGTCAAACTCAGTAGATTGAAGATCAGATGATGATCAGATGATGACATCACTGTTATCATATTTTAGTCTGTTTATGATCCAGATTGATTTCATTAGAACTGAATTTATTTCTTCTCTAATCACAGACTTGGTGGCTGTTCGCTCCGAAAGGCTGAATGTGAAGTTTTGGCCTCGGCTCTGAAGTCCAACCCAGATCTGACTGAACTGGAAATAATCAGATCCACATGTATAAAGGTGGAGACTCTGATATGAAGCATCTGGTTGAGATCCTGGAGAATTCAGTCAGTAGAGTGAAGAAACTGAGGTTTGTTTTTTCTATTTATACAATAAAATCATTTTTTGATACTTTAATCAATAGTTAACCAATTTAATGTTAATATATATTATTTTAAAACAACCTGTTTAATCATGAGAATAAAATCTCTAAAACATTTGATCTTATTAATTATTTTCTTATTTCAAACTTTGACATTATTGAACTTTGTTTTTCAGTTTTTCTCTTTAAAATGTTTTTGATGAACAAAATGAGTAAAATAATTGAAATGCTGTGAATGAATGATGGAGATGTTTCAGTTTGGTAAAGATTCAGATGGTTTTATTTCTGATTCTTTACATCAGAATGAAATGTTGATCCTCCAGAGCCACAAACACTGACGAGTTCAAATCCTCATTAATGAACGTCTAAGAAACCACTGATTGTAGAAAAGCAAATCTAGATGCAATGAATGAAAGTGAGGTTTGCAGCAGCAGCAGGTTCCTCAGCTTTGTCCTGAGGCTGTGGTTCTGTTGGGCCGGGTCAGAGAGGAACCGTCTCCTGAGGAAATAATGGCCTCCATTGACTTTCAGCAGCTTTAATAGGAACCCAAAGGCCATTAATGAAGAACCTGACTGGTTCTGATCCAGTTACCAAGTCGGGTCTGATGATCAGGAACCAGCAGAAATAGCTCAACTCATCCAGACTGATAGAAAACTTTGAGTTTCTTTGTTAATCAAATGTTCTGGTTCTGCTGGTTTGGACTCTTTAAACCAGTTTGACTGGATCAGATGTTAGAATCACTTCATCATGTTTCTTTTACATTCAGGGAAATTAATTTATACATTTTATTATTGATTTGTTCATATTTCAGTTTTAACTGCATCCTGTTGGTTCACATCTTTTATTCTTTATTCAGATTGAGTTTCTGCATTTTATCAGAGACCAGCTGGACGTCTCTGTTCTCAGCTCTGAAGTCCAACCCGACCCATCTGACAGAACTGGTACTATTCATCACCAACCTGGAAGGTTCTGGACTGAAGGATCTCTGTGGTTTTCTACAGACTGAAGGCTGCAGACTGGAGATATTGGGGTATTTTAATGATACAATTATTGATATTTCTGTGAATAATTCTATATAATTGATCATCAATCAAAGTTCATTTCTTCTGATCTAATCAATATTTTCTGAGTTTGTTCCTGGATCCAGAGTTTAATTTAGTTTCTCTGTGTAACTGAGTTGGACCTGCTGATCTGAGGTCAGAACAGGACAGCATTTGGACCCCAGTGTGTAGAAATCCCCCTCAGGTCAAGCAGGTCAAAGGTCATCCAGTCTAGAAAAGTGAATTCCTGGAATCTGACAGGAACAAATCAATAATCAATGATTGATGCTTCAACACTTTGATCAGAACCTGGAATGATTTTACTGACTAAAATCCTCCAACACATCATGACCCAGTACCAGGTTCTGGTTCTGGTTCTGGTTCTGAAGTCAGCAGGTCTTTATTGGAGCAGCAGCTTGTTGGCATTAATATTCATGAGAATCTTTAACTGGTTCTGTTGGACTGGTTAACCTGCATCCTGTTGGTTCACATCTTTTATTCTT